TTTTTCGTTTTTACTTGCTATTATTACTCTGGTTATTAATACTATTACTGTTGTTACTGTTATTGTTGCCATTGGCAGTTACACGAAGGGGGGGGAGGGGAGGGGGTCGAGCGGGTGACGCTCCTGTTAAATTGCCGCCGTGCCTCCTCAGGGGAATAAAGGCTCGGGTGGTGGGTGTGGTACATGCGGCATTCAAATTTCTGTGGAAGAGGGTGCGTATGCGCCAGCTCATCGCCCAGGCTGAATGTCGGGAAACGATTTCCTTGTTGCCTCGTTCTCGTTTTTTTTTTGTTTTCTTCATTTTTTTTTTTTTGCCCTTTGATCGTGTGTGTGGGCACCTATTTGCAGTCAGGCCCCCGTTCACACTGAATGTGCTCATATGCATTACACGCGGATTGCAACACCACAATCGGTTTGGTATTCGAGAATAAATGAGAAAATATTGCGTTAATTTGTTGTTTGTGTTTTATGCTTGTTTTTTTTTTTGTTGTGTGTGTGTGCGCGAAGGATACGTTTGCTGGAGGGTGCGCAACTCAACTGGGCACCTTAAGGGGGGGGAAAAAAGCAAGGAATTGTTGCTTTCTGTCTCTGCTTTGTCTCACGCTCGCCTCTCTACTTTTGCCGTCTCTGTAGGTTTCGCCGCAGCTTGTAGCGCAATGTTTCAACAGCAGCAACCTTTTCCCCCCGTCTCTTCTGCCGAGGTGGCGAGGGGCGGCGCCCTGCAGGGGTCGGATCCATGGATTTTCCCGAGTGAAGGCGGCTCCGGCACTTTCATGACATACTACGCCGCGTCACTCCCCCATTCCGATTCGCCCATTGTTAATTTTGGCAGCCGCCCTGCCGGAAACGCAACTCCCCCGTTGCGTCCGTGCAGCGGGATCATGCCGAACCCCGTGAACACCATTGCCAGTGGTGAACCTCCATTCGAGGGCCCGAAGTCGGCATATGGGAGAAATATTTACGTGGCCAGCCTCCCGGGAGACATCACCGATGAAGGGCTAAGGGCACTCTTTGAACCATTTGGCAAAATCATCTCTGCCAAGACGATGTCCCGCAAAAACGGCGTCTGTTGCAGCGGATACGGATTTGTTCTGTTTCAACGTTCAGAGGACGCCGCCCGGGCTCAGGCGGCGATGATTGGACACATTGTTGGTGGTAACCGGATTCAGGTGCGTCAGGCCAGGCCGTCGGCGTGTCAGCAGCTTGTGAACGTTGCAAATTCGAGTCGAGGCAGCAAGGTGTCTCCAAAGAGCAGGCAAATGTTGTCCGCTTCTGGGCCTGCTGCGGCGGTTTCTCCTGCCTGCGCCGCACCCCCAGGGAACTGCAGCTCCCACTACATTGCTGTCTCGCCAACATTCTCCGTGGATGGGGCATCGTCCTCTCACGTGTCACCCTTGACGCCGCTGCCGCAGGTCCCCTTCATCTTGCCACAGCCACAACCACAACCACAGCCTTTGGTCTGCTTTATGCTGCCAGTGTCCGTCCCAGGCAATTTTTGGTGGGATAACGCACAGCGGCTCGGCTAGCAGGAAAGACGTGGAGCTGTGGCACTGGTTTCCCCCCAACCCCGAAGGGAGACAAATATTTGCCTCCTCCACACATGTATGTCTGAGGAAGGTCACACGCAGTGACTGCGACGTAGAGGAGACTGTGCCAAGTGACGAATTGTGGGTGAATTCTTAGGTTCCTGTCGACTACTCTTTCGTGTTTGACTCCACCTCGGTTCTGTAGACGGGACGTCTCAGCAGTAGAATGGCCCCCTTTTGTTTATTGGAACTCGTCACTGTGTTCCCTTGAGGGACATCTATGTTTGTTTTTCCCCCATTTCTTATTGCTTCTTGCTGTTTCCTTGCCCAATGGCCTTTTTTTTGTTAGTTTCACGTATATTTATGTGCCTGTATGCATCTACTATATATATATGGGCACTTTATTTTTATTTTTGTAGAAAACAGTGGAACAAAATGTGCTACCCTGTGTGGCCAAGTGGATAATCGCACGTTTTATTGAACCCCCCCCTCGCTTCTTTATCCGGAAAA